TTCTCTTCAGAGTCGTGAGTCTGTGGGGGAGCATATTTTGATGGGCTTTTGGAGATGCTGCCAAGGGCCTTATGTTCATGAGAACTGAAACACAGCTCTTTGTGGGGGACATATGGAGTGTCTTTTCTTACCTTTGAAAGGGAGAGAAATCCATGAAATTCAGGCGTTTGGGGACCGGTTTCCCTGCTTGTTGCTTTGCTAGTTGAAAGCAGCTCACGAAACCAAGGCAGCATCTGTAATTTGGGGCAGAAAGTGACGGGCAGACTGTGGGTCTGGGTTCTGCTGTGCTGTGTGTCTTAGCCTGGTGGGTACAGGCCAGGAGTGCATCCGTGGACAGCTCTCAGCTGTGTGTCATGTGGCTTGGTCTCACCCTGGCTTATGGTCCCCTTACACACAGCTTATGCTGAGCGACACCTGTTGGTGTCGGCTGTGGAATGGCAGGCGGTTCCCTGCCCTTAGACCCTTTGGTTCATCTTTTGCTCACTGACCTGATCACCCCTCAGAGTTTTTTAAATTAGCTTTAATTTTATGTGTGTGAGTGTCTCCATGCACATATGTGTACCGTGTATGTGCTAGGTGCCCACGGAGGCCAGAAGAGGGTGTTAGATCCCACGAGACTGGTATAGGGCAGTTGTGAACCACCAGTTACATGCCTGTGCTCAGCAGCAAGTGTTAACCGATGACTGACAAGCCGGCTCTGCAGCCCTGCCCCCGAGACTGTATCTTAGCATCACTTTCTGCAAACACTGGTCCAGGGGCCTCCACCCACGGATGCTGGAGGGGGGAGGTGGGAAGGACACAGGCCTTGGGGACCAAGATTTCTAGGCTCACATTCCCCTCTGCACCTTTACCTTTAAAGATAGGGTGAAAATATCAGCCACATCGGGTGAAGACTGAAGGCTGGACAAGTCTGAATTCTGTCTCATGTGCACGCTTTCTGGAAGCCAAATTGTGCTTTCCTTTTTCTCTATGAAATGATGTTACCAAGGTCATTATTTGCAAGGATGACTGATACTTAGTTATATATGGAGCCAAGAATGAAACTGTGTTTCTCTTCAGGATGTTGTGTGCACTCTCTCTCTCTCTCTCTCTCTCTCTCTCTCTCTCTCTCTCTCTCTCTCTCTCTCTCTCTCTCTCTCTCTCGTGTGTGTGTGTGTGTGTGTGAGTGAGTGTGTGTGTGAGTTGTGTGTGTGTGTGTGTGTGTGTGCAGGTCCCATCTACCCTGATTTTTTTAAAGCAGAGTGTGTCCTCTGCCTGGGGCTTGCTTCTTTAGCTACACTTTCTGCCCGTGAGTCCCAGGGATCTACCTGTCTCCACCTCCCCAGACACACATCTTCACACCTGGCTTTCTTTTAAGTGAGTTCTTAGGATAGAACTTAGGTTTTCACACTTGTAGGACAAGTACTCATCACTTGAGCCATCTCCGAGGTCCCACTATAATCAGCTTCAGCCTGGCTGTCAGCTGTGGTTAAGTCAGGAAGCAGCGTCTCTACAGACTTCTTTTACTACCCTATTGATGAGTGACCAAGGAAGCTCAACCCCAGCCTGGGAGGCCTCAGAGCATCAGGACCTCCTATCCCTGTGACACTGTGGTTCTGCTGAGGGCTCTCCCTGAAGGTCACCTCTGAATCCTGCATGCGGGCTTCTCTGCCACATTGGCCATGTGACACACGTGGTAGACTTTGATGTTTCCATGGGGCTGCAACAGGGTCTGAATCCTAGATGCAAATACTTGGGCTCTCAGAGGTGACATGGGCCCTGGGGCCTCCAAGAGTGTGTGCCTCTGAGCAGACACATCTCCTAGTGAATCAGCAATGTAAATCACAGACCTCACATTCCCGGGGTGTAGGGGGGAACTATGGGTGTACACTGGGCCCATAACACATCCATTGTTTCATATCTCTCCCATTCTGTTCTTTGATTGCTAAAAGGTTAGGTGTTGGTACACACTTGTCTGCTGTTTTCATGCTGACTGTCGTGACAGTGGGCACGAGCGTCAGGGGGCCAGCCTCCCTGGTCTGAGGAGCCACCAGTTCATCAGTTGACCCCCTGTACATGTTTGCCTCTGCCCTGTCTGATGCCAAGACAGTCCCATTTGCTCCATCTGCTAATTAACACCTGGAGGGATGTAGGTGGCCATAATGATGCCCCCTTTCTGGGCTCTCAAATCCTGCGTTGTTTGTTACATTCAGTCTGTTGCTCCAGAGTGATGTATAGCAGATGCTAAAGAAGTCTTCAGCTTATCATTTCCTCCGAAAGTGGGGCTCCCTGCCGGCCACCCCTGAGTGTCTAACTCTCTTCATCAAAACCCGATGCAGTGCTAAGTATAACGTTGATAGCAAGCTTTCTGAAGGTCGTCTTGATTGGTCTCTCCACATTCACACAAGGAGCAGAGTTAGCTGTGGAAGTCCCCTGAAGGCTCTGGCTAAACCAGTGAGTGGCCAGAGATGGGGTCAGGCGTCCTGCTCCTCTCGTTAGGGACAGCCCATTAAGTCCCTGTTAGCTCACCTTCCCCACCCCTACCCCAGGTCCAAGTAAACTGGCTGCTTCCAGGACATCAGCAGGGAAACTGCACATAGGGTCCAGCTTGCACTTCCCAGTGGGCATCATCTGGGCTCAAAACAACAGAGGATTTCTTCTTGTTACTCTTAGTTTTGGTTTAATTTGGGTCATTTTCCTCAGCTGGAGTCTATTCCTTCTGGTCTGGTCCAGTTCTTTAACTGGCAAGTGAAACATAAGGCCCCTTTCCCAGCGGAGAAAACCCACCTCAGATTGCATGGCAAGTAAGTCTACCCTCGAGGGCCAGGACAGTGTGTGAGTGTGACAGGCAGTAAGCCTGGGGTCAAGGAATTGCTCCATTTTATTCACTGCCTCACCCCTACACTTGAAGGTCCCCTCCAAACTCTCTGCATTCTCTGTTGAGGCAAGACCAGAAGTGTGTGGAGATGTATCATTTGTGATTTATTAAAGCTTGCCTGAGGATTCAGAAAGTAAAGCCAGACACAAGCTATACAGGTCAGGCAGGGGTGATACACACCTTTAATCCCAGCAGCCATACTAGCTAGCCAGGCAGTGGTGGTGTGTTGGGGAAGTCCTGTGTATATGTCAATAAAGCACTGCTGACCAATAGGGAAGCAAGATAGGTGGGACTAGGAGTCGAGGAGGACTCTGGGTAGGAGAAACACAGGGAGTCAAGATGTAACCACCATAGGGCTAAAAAGCCTGGAAACTTCTCCGGTAAGAGAAATACTTAGATTAACAATTATAGGATAAATACTTAAGTCAGAGCTAGCCAGTAAGAAACAAGCAAGGCCAACAGCTTCATAATTAATACATGTGTGTTATTTGGGGACTACAATGCGGCAGAGCCCAGGCAACTGGCGGGTGAAAAACCAAGCCGCTGACAAGGAAAAGGCTTCTCTCTACAGTGGTGCACACCTTTAATACCAGGACTCGGGAGACAGGCAGATAGATCTCTCTGAGTTCAAGGCCACCCTGGCCTATACAAGAGTGAAGAGTAACAGAGCTCATGCCTTTGATCTCAGCACCAGGGAGGTGAAGACAGGAGGATATGGCTGGGGGGAGAAAGGAGAATAAGGAGGAGGAGACAGGAATTCAGAGCTTTTGCCTCTGAGGATTTGTGGAGACAGGACTGCCATTTCACCTGGGTAGAGGTAAGATCTCCTGGTTTGGCTGCTTTGCTTTTCTGATCTTCAGCTTGAAGCTTGAACCCTAACATCTGTCTCTGGGTCTATTTATCATGCTACAGAAGTAGAATCCATTCCAAGAAGCACTTTTTCCAAAATCAAGCCTCAGGGCTGGGTGGGGCATTGCTCAGCGGTTAAAATGCTTGCTACACAGTGAGCAAAGTTTGAATCCCCAGAGCCCAGGTAAACGGCAGTGGACAAGTAACCTTCCTGTAGTTCCAACTTTCAGAAGCAAGAGACAAGGAATCCCCAAAACAAACAGATTAGAGAAACTAGTAGTGTCAGGAATCTGGGAGACCCTGCCTCAGTAAATAAAATGGAGAGCAAGTAGTCAGGAAAGATTCCCAGTGTCAACCTTGGGCCTCTGCACACCTGCACTTTAGGCTCAGTGATCTGTCTGTCACAGGACCAAGTCTAGCTGCAAGGGAAGCTGGGCAATGTTGCTTTCTATTTGCCCTGAGATAGGGACACAAGGGAGACTGGCTTGAGGTCCATGCGTGAGCTAACACACAGCACCTGCCAAGCCTCAGGAGAGTTCTTTGTCAGTACTCTCATTGTATGGACGATGGCAGTAAGTTCTAGAACTGGGGAGTGCCCTGGCTAAGGTCTCATGGTAGACAAAGCTAGAGTCTGGCCAGGTGTCGCCCACACTGTAGATGCTATTTCCCATGGTGTATAAAATGATACTGAGAAAATAAGACATCGTCTAGGAAATGGAGTAGCTGATAACAAAGACAAAACACAGATAACTTTCCCTCGAACTCTGTGTCCTCCCTCCATCCCTGTGACCCTGGAGTCATTCACTGGGAGTCACCAAGCAAAGCCAAGTCACACCAGGTCCTCTATGTTCCCTGCTGCTCTGTAAAAAATTTTCTATTCCTTAGATTTATTCTATTTAGTGTGCATGAATGTTTGGTTTGCCTGTGCCCAGTGAAGTCAGAAAAGGGATTGGATCTCCTGAAGCTTTACAGATGGTTGTGAGCCACCATGTGGGTTCCGGGCATTGAGCCACGGTCCTCTGTGAGAGCAGCCAGTGCTCTCAACCACCGAGCCGCGTCTTCAGACTTCTTTAACATTGTACCCTTTCAGCAGGCATGTGTGTCTGTGGTGTGTGTCCGTGAATGTGCACGCATGCATGTTTGTGCATGTGTGTGCACACGCAAGAGTGTGGGAGTACATGTGTGCTATTACAGACCTGACCTCATGATGGGCGCCAGGAAAATGTAGGATTTCTGTGTCTTTGTTAATGTGCTGTTCTTGTCTTCTGTCCCCTTCTGTTATTGGACCAAACAGAAGTGTTCTGCTGTTTCTCTCTGCAACATCTCCACAGAAGTCCTGAAGGTCATCAACGCTACCGAGGAGCTGATTGCAGAGTCTGCAGGGCCCTGGGAGATCCCCCCAGTCCCAACTGACACAGACATGGGGATGTTTCCTCTTGGGACAGACCAAGTGAGGCTGGACAAGCAGCTGACGTCCTTGGAAGAAAACGTAAGAGGGTGTGACTGTGCCTGGGGAGGGTGAGCATATGTGAAGGAGAGGGGACAGTCGCTGCTCCCACGTCATGCAAGGACACGAACCCCCACCACCACCACCACTGCCCGTGGCTGGTGTGTCCCTGGGAAAAGGCTGGGGCGGGGCTACCCAGAAAGCAAGGGTGCAATCAGGAAATCAGCCGTTAACTGTGAGAAGGAGGGGTGGGGAGCAAAGCTAAAGAGGAAGCCGCCTGTGCCTTGTGTTCGCTGTCAGTTAGCTTTGGTTGTGAAGTGGTGTCTGCAGTGTGGCCCCAGCGTGGCTTTCAGTCTGAGGAGTTAGGAACCCCGGTGAGGCTCTGGCTGTGTGGTTACAGACCTTGGCCAGGTCACTTCCTCTCCTGGGAGAAGATGGTGCAGGGATGGTGTAGGGAAGGGAAGAAGGAAGAAGCCACCCGTGACTTTGAGCTCAGGGCATATTGAGCCCGGATGCCTGCAGAGAGCTCCCAGCCGGTAGCTGCGTCTCGGGCCTGGCCCTCCCTCTGCAGGCAGCCGATGCTTCTGTCCTCCTGAAGGCAGGGCGAATGTCTCCCAAGGGGTCCTCCGGGGACACTGAGATGTAGGCAGTCAGTGCCTAGTGAGGCTTTGGGAATAGAGAGGGTGCTGGGAGCTGGCTCAGTGACTATAGTGCCTGTCAGCCAAGTGGAGGAGTGTAGACCCACAGAGACGCACAGTGATGTCAGGTGTGCAGTGTCACACACACAACTCCAGCATGTGATTCAGAAGCAGAGACAGGGGTCCCCAGGGTGAGCTGGCTGGAAAAAGTAGTAGCCGTCCCAACGAGTCCTGGGTTTGGCTGAGGGACCCTGCCTCAGTGAATAAGGTAAAAGGGATTGCTCACGTCAACCCTGGGCCTCCACATACATGTGAATACACACATGCACACATACACACACATACACACAGACTCAGAAATGGAGGGAAAAAGAGACTATCCGGTGGTGTGCGCTGAAGTAGAGCGAGGCTTTCTTCAGGACCTGTGGTAGGAAGGCATACAGGCCTTGGCAGCGGGGTCATGTGCTGGGGAAGAGACTGAGAGCCTGATATGGCACGGGCGGGTAGGAATTGGCAGGTGAGCAGCAGAGGCAGTGTTGTCATTGGAGTTTTTTCTTTGGGCTGCTAACCAGCTCCCAAATAAAGACACAGAGACTTATCATTATGAATGCCCAGCCTAAGCTTGTCCCACTAATTCTTTTTTTTTTTTTTTTTTTTTTTTTTTTGGTTTTTGAGACAGGGTTTCTTTGTGTAGCTTTGGCTGTCCTGGAACTCACTCTATAGATCAGGTTGGCCTCAAACTCACAGAGATCCACCTGCCTCTGCCTTCCGAGTGCTAGGATTAAAAGTGCTCATGCTACAACTGCCAGACCCCCACTAACTCTTTTAACGTCATTTAGCCTGTCTCTATTCATCTATGTCTTGGGGCTTTTAACCTTCCTTTCATTCTGTATGTCATACTTTCCTTCTTCCTCGATGTCTGGCCCTGGTGTCATCATTCCCCACCCCTCCACGCACCAGCCTGAACTCCTCCTCCCACTTACTGTCCCTAAGGGAAGTCTGTCCTTCCCTATTGGCCATTCAGCGGTTTATTAGACCAATCAGATGCCTTAGGCAGGCAAGTTAAAAACAGAATGCATCTCTACACAGTTAAATATTCTGCAACATAAACAAATGCAACACATCTTTAAGTAGTTAAATAAATGCAGCACATCTTTGCATAGTTAAACAAATATTCCACAACAGGGCTGAGGAGGTAGAAAATGCTCAAAGAAACCTTAAGGGCTGATCAAACAAACCTAACCGTATTCCTGCTGAAGACAGGCCCAGGGTGGTGCAGGCATCATTTGGGGACGAGTGGAAGATAAGAAACATAATGAGATATGGGTGATCTGCTGTCAGGGATGGGACTCTGGCCTAAGTGATTGGGCGGATTCTTTAGATAATGCTTGGTCTAGAAGCTTCAAGGTGAGCCTGGGAGATGGTTCTGAGCCCCCACTAAAGTTTGGGCAGCCAAGAATCTCTGTTAGGGGTAGTATGTGGGAAACGAACCACATACTGACCACATACAATAAAACTAACCACGTACAAAAAAGTGGCCCAGTGGAGAGCCAGACAGAGTTCTTCCACTGCTAGGGTGAGGGCAGCTGCTAAAAGAACCTCAGTTCGGGGCTGGAGAGATGGCTCAGCGGTTAAGAGCACTGACTGTTCTTCCAGAGGTCCTGAGTTCAATTCCCGGCAACCACATGGTGGCTCACAACCACCTTGAATGAGATCTGGTGCCCTCTGCTGGCCTGCAGGCAGAAGGCTGTATACACAATAAATAAATAAAATAAATTTTAAAAAAAAGCACCTCAGTTCTGGGCGGGGAGACATCTCTATGGGTAAAGTGTTTACTGTGCAAGCGTGAAGACCTGAGTTCAATACCCAGAATTCACATAGGAAAGCCAGGTGTGGTAGCATGTTGTAATCCCAGTGCTGGGGAAGCAGAGACATGCAGACACCTGGGGCTCGAAAATAAGCCTTGCTGGGTATGTTCCAGGCCAGAGACCCTGTCTTAAAATACAGGGCGGATGGTACCTGCGGAGTAACAGCCCAGGTTGCCCTCTTGCATGCACATGTATGCACATGCGTGTGCACGCACACACACACACAATCACACACCGACAGTAGTTTTCTCTCATTGTATTTAGAACAAGGACAGCACACCTTCCTTTCTTCTAAAACCATACTGAAAACTCCACGTACTTGTGTGCTTTTCCACAGCACAGAGTGGTTGTGTTGTTATTTTGTTGGGGTGTGGAGGACTCATTAGTATTTTCGGTTCAAAACACAGCCACGTATGCACTGGTGCAGGCCGTCAGAAGCCCCAGTGTGGATAGACATGTGGTTTCCAGGCTGGGTCTGCAGCCGGCTGCTCCTCCTTCAGCCCGGCTCCAGCTCTGTCCCATTCCCCTCCCTTTTCCTCAGGACAGAGGGTACCCATGCTCCTTAGTAAGAGTGGGAAGCATCCTTCCCCCTCGTCTCCCTAATCCAGATCACGGGGGGTGGGGGGAACTGCAGGAAAAGGCTGGGCTGGCTCAGCCCCTGGCTGCAGCTGGTTTAATTAAACTATGGCTTTTCTCGGTCTGCACTGCAGAAAGTGTGTTTCATCCCTCATCCCTCCCTTTGCCATGGTGCCCGGGACTCTGAGATAAAAGAGAGCACTCTGTTCTGAGTGTGCACCCTTGGAAATGCTTCTGAGGCTGTGGAGGCTACACGAGATAGAACGCAGGATGAGAGGAGAAATGTACAGTCCCGTGGTCTCCACTGCATTAGTGTGTGGGCTCTGCCCTTGTCTCCCCTAAAACCTACACTGCTCTGGGGCTCCCCTCGCCCTCCTCAGCTGTGTACGGTGGGGGTCGGTCCCTCAGGCAGGAAACCTGGGTCTCTAGGGTTTAAAAACCCTTCTGAGAAGCACCCAGCTGTGTCCCCTGGGGTCTATCTGGGAGGGGAGAGATTTGAAAAGAGACTGTTAACCGAGACTTGGGCAAAGTTGAGGGGTACCTGAGGGCCGAAAAGACAGGGCTGGAGGAAGCTGTGCCAGCACTAGGTGGTACAGCCAGAGCTGAGGAGAGCTGGAGCCTTGAAGGAAGACTTCCCCCACCAGCGGAAGCTAGAACCCGGAGAGGGGGCTTCCGGCACAACCGTCATGCCCCCTTGCCTTCAACCTCTTGTTGGTATCTCCTGTTGGCCAGGGAAGAGCTGTCGTGAGAGTCATATAGGTCAGCGTCTTCATCTCATTTCCTATGGTGTGACAGCATACCCCAACTTAAGGAGAAAGGGCTTTTTCCACTCACGATTCCAGGTTACAGCCCATCACTGTGGGGAAGTCACAGTGCAGGAATTTGAAATCGCCCATCACATCACATCCACAGAGCAGAGAGCAATGGATGAATGAATGGATGGATGAATGAATGAATGAATGAATGCTCCATGCTGGTGCTCAACCCACAGTCAGAGTAGAGAGCAATGGATGGATGGATGGATGGATGGACAGATGGTTGGATGGATGAATGCTCCATGCTGATGCTCAACCCACAGCCAGAGCAGAGAGCAATGAATGAATGAATGCCTCCATGCTGGTGCTTAGCTCACTTTCTCAACTCTAATATGATCCAGGATCCATGCCTAGGCAGTGGTGCCACCCACAGTGGGCAGGTCTGCCCACTAATCAGATAATCCCCACAAGCCAACCTGATCTGAATAATCCCTCACTGAGATTCCCTTTCCAAGTGAGTCTAGACTGTGTCAAGGTGACAATTAAAACTGCCCTCCAGTGCCTGGAATAGAGGACTCAGTAGTTAAGAGCACTGGCTGCTCTTCCAGAGGACCAAGGTTCTATTCCCAGCACCCACAGGGCAGCTCACAACAGCCTATAACCCCATTTCCAAGGAATCTGACTCCCTCTTCTGTTCTCAAGGGCACTGTGCATACATGGAGCACTTAGTGTGTATGCAGGCAGAACCCATACACACATAAAATAGAAATAAATAAATCTTTAAAAAAATAAAACCAAAATGAGTAAATAAATAATAAATAAAACAAGCCATTGCATGACGCCTGCCAAACAGGAAAGATCAGGGCAGTAAAGGATAAAAATGCATCCAAAGGATCAGCAGAGAGCGGACAGCATGGCCGTCATCAGCCCTGCAGTGTGAGCAACAGGGTGAGCCTCCTCGTGATTTCACTCAGGAGTGAGTGGGACGCATGAGTCAGCTCTGTCCCTCCTACCTCCATCTGAGGACCTGGTTCAGCATCTGCTTTGCTGTAAGACAATGCAGCTTGTACTAACCTATGATTCACACACACACTCACACACTCACACACAAATGTATGTCCCAATTTCCTTTTAGTTTCAGGTCTCCGTGTACTTTACAACCAGCGGCAGCGGGCACAGTAGGGATGCCCAGCTCTGCCTCTGAATCCAGGCCGGAGCAGAGGATCCATCCCTCCCCAGACCCTCTTGCTGCCCCAGAGCTCTAGAGAGGAGGTGGCCTTAAAGCTCATGACAGTGGCTGTGGTTACTTAGGTAACTATCTGCCCTTTGTGAGCAAGAAAAAAACATCCTGTTGTTTACTGGTCCTCTAAGGTGTGTTTTATGGAAGCTGAATCCAATAAGATGCTATGGGGGACAATAAATCTGGGCAGTTTGTTCTTGCTGTGAAAATTGAGACTCATGCATAGGAGACTTCTAGAAGTGAGACTGGGCAATGGGGTTGGGGAGGTGGTGGGGGCTGGGTGATAGCTCAGGGGGGTGAATGTTAATCCCATGGAGTTAGCTGAATTTATATCATGTTTTATTATATATGTACAATAAAGCCAGTCTGGTGACTGCCCCACCAAATTCATGATTTAAGAGGTCAACCCCTCTTAAACATAGGAGAAGTAGGGTTTTTATAGCCCCCAAAACGCAAGGCTAGGGGGTCCCCAAGTGTTGGGGATTTTCAGAGGAATTTTGGTTATGCAGGAACTTGACTGAACATCTCAAAATTACTTGTCAGAACATCTTATGAGGGTAGAGATCAGGATATAGTCAAGGAGTTAGTCAGATTCCATAGGGTGCAGGGCATGTCAAATTCTAGAAAATGGGTCAAGACACAGAAACCAGGGATGACTTATTTTGACCTTGTAACAAGATGGCTTCGAATCTTAACATGGAGTAGGGCTGGCCTATTGTAAGTGCTTCTGAACTTACAAAGGTCAGAACCTGAGTTCAATCCCCAGTACCAGGCAGGCAGAAACAAATCTGTCTGGGGTTCACTGGCCAGCCAGCTTATCCAATGAGTGTCACTGTCTCACAAAACAAGATAGAAAGAGACTGAGGAATGACAGCAAGATATATCTCTGACCTCTACATGAATACATGAGAAACACACATGTACACACACACACTCACACACACACACACACACAGACACACGTGTGTACACATAGTCACACATGCACACACGCAGGCACACACACACCCTGTGGCACATGCATGTACACACACCCAAACACGCAAATAAATAAATGGAATTGTAAAAAATAAGTCATATGAATCACTTGCTTTAGTTTCTGGCTCAGTAAACATGTCACCACGACCATGACCGTCCTCCAGCCCTTCAAGCCCCATCACTTTGGTGGTGAGTTCTGATCCAGCTGTGCTCAGAGACAGACTCTGTGTCCCTTTCCCCGAGTGCCAGGGAAGCAGACTTTCTGAAAACACAAAAACATGACCACTCCAACCAGACTGGGGACTTGGATCGATCTTGGATGTGATAAAAAAATTTTTTTAAACATACCTTTAACAGATAATGGGGTTAAAATACAAATCACAGTTCCGGGTAGATCCAGCCCTGGGATGAAGATGTGCATTCCTCTTTTTCCTGGTAAAATGAGTGATCCTGGGCATGTCACCATTGTCAACCACCACTTCCGATGTCACCCAGTAATGTTTGTCTGTTGCTATGCTTAGCCAGGTCATTCCGGGTAAATAATTCAAACCAATCCCATGGTGAGTCCGTTTCCTCTTGATACTCCATTTAAGTCCCTGAACAGATGCTCAGTTCATGTTGCTGGCGTTGAGCTCTCCTAAACGGGTTTCCCTTGTGTTTATAAGGAAGGAAAGATGTCAAAGGCTTCTTTCCCTCACCTAAGGGTGAAGAGTACCGATTAGCAGGGGGCTCCCATCTCCCCTCCCCCAGCATCCAGCCCAGTTTTCTCTGACCCCTCGTTGACTGGTGCCCCCTCGGAGAGCCTGGCCAGTCCCAGTCCACCGGGCTCAGAGCTGCGCTGACTCTGCAGGTGTACCTGGCCGCGGGCACCGTGTACGGGCTGGAGGGCCAGCTGAGCGAGCTGGAAGATGCTGCCCGCTGCATCCACGGCAGCACAGGAGAGACGGAGCTGGCAGAGCTGGAGGACCAGGTGGCCGCAGCCGCAGCGCAGGTGCACCATGCTGAGCTGCAGGTGAGTCCCCTCCTCTCTTCAGGTTGAAACGGGAAGCTCCCACTTCATAGGCACATTCCCACATGCCAGGCGCCCTCAGATCCAGGGGGCTAGCATAGAGGTGGCCGCCTGTAGCAAAAGACTCTAGCAAACCTTCTCTGTCTTTATTTTTTCTTTAATTTTGTGTTTATTTTTCCCGTGTGTATGTGTGTGCACCTTGTGATGCTTGGTTGGGAGAAGTCATTGGATCCCTTGAAACTGAAATGATGAGTGGCTATGAACCACCCTGTGGATGCTGGGAGTCAAAGCCCAGGTCCTCTTCAAGAGCTCCTAACCAGCAATCCATCTCCGCAGCCCCTCAAACCTTTCCTAAAATAGAAGAGGTTTCTCCTCCTTCCCGTAGCAGAACCTCAGTCCATATTATCTATCTTAGGTTTCCTTTTTTTTTTTTTTTTTGGTTTTTCGAGACAGGGTTTCTCTGTATTGTTTTGGAGACTGTCCTGGAACTCACTCTGTAGACCAGGCTGGCCTCGAACTCACAGAGATCCGCCTGCCTCTGCCTCCCGAGTGCTGGGATTAAAAGCGTGCACCACCAACGCCCGGCTTCTTGGGTTTCCTCTAAGACCTACGCTGATGGCTAAGGAGATGGCTCAGCCAGAAAGTGCTTGCAACTAAAACCTGAGGGCCCAAGTTTGGATCCCAGCCCCCACATGGAAAGCCAGGGTATGTGACTGGTGCCTGTAATCCCAGTGCTGGGGAGGCAGAGGTATGAGCATCCCTGAGGCTCACTGAGCAGCCAGTCTAGTCAGATCCGTGAGCTCTAGGTTCAGTGAGAGATACTCTCTGGAAATATAAGGTGGGGAGCAATTGAGGACGATGGCTGATGTCAACGCCTGGCACCCACAGTATGTGTGCACACGCATGTGTACATGCATAAACACACACACACACACACGTGCTCACATGTGCACACTCTGTGCTGGTCTTCTCCCATTCCACCCCAAGGCCACCCCTCTCATACTGTGGGCTGTTCTCTGGGGCTGTTTCCCCACCAGGGACTCAAAGCTGCATGAGAGCCAGGCCACTTGCCTGGCTGGCCTAAAGGAGTAACTCCAGACACTCACCAGAAGCGGAGTAGGAGCTGAAGGGACGGCTCGGCAATGAGGAGCGCACACCGCTCTTGCAGAGCGCCTGGGTTCTGTCCCCAGCACCCACATCAGGTGCCCACATTTGGGCGAAGCTGCAGCTCCAGGGGAGTCCGTTTCCTCCTGTGGCCTCCGGGGGCCTCTGCACACACGTGCACAAACCCACAGGAAGTGCAATGTGTATGTGAACAAAAAGGTCTCTTCGAGAGGGTAAATAAAGGGATGAACAGGTAGTGCGCACTTCCCAGGCCAGGGGCGAGGAGCAGAGCTTCAATGCAGCTGTCTCCACTGAGAGCTCTCATCCAGTACATTCTGAAAATGCTTCTTTGTGGCTTTTGTGAGTGCGCCCTTGTCCCTCGTGGGTCGGAGATGGTCATAGGCTAAACCACTGACCCTAAGTGGGATCTGCATTCTCTCGGGAACCTATACCGTTTTATGTTCTTTATAAAGGACCCGCTATAGGTCTACAAACCATGGGCTACTATAGACCTGCTATAGGTCTACCACCCATAGACCACTATAGGCCTGATATAGGTCTACAACCCATGGGCTACTATAGACCCACTACTAGGCATGGTGGCATTTGTCTGTAACGCTAACATTGAGGAGGATTAAGATTGAGAGTTCAAATCATCCTTGGGTACAGAGAAAATTCAGGGCTAGCTTGGGCTACATGAGATGCTGGCTCAAGATACATAAGCGCAGATCAAGGTGGGAGACGAATGTGTTTCTCTAGACTAAGATGCAGCAGGGGCCAGCGGCATGGCTCAGCAGGGAAGGGCAGTAACCACACGAGCCTGGAAACCTGTTCTCTCCCACAGAAACCCCACGAAAAGACCGAGGGAGAGACCCAGAGAAACAATTCCACAGAGTTGTTCTCAGGCTTACACATGTGCCATGGCGTGTGCGCCCCAGATGCGCTTTATAAATACACGATTGTTTTAAAAGAGAGAAACAGCAGCAGGAGTTCAGTACAAATTCCTGATATTGCTACTGTCTTTACTTTTTGTTTGTTTTATTTTGCTTGGTTTTTCAAGACAGGGTTTCTCTGTATAGCCCTTAATGTCCTGGCACTCGCTCTGTAGACCAGGCTGGCCTTGAACTCACAGAGATCCGCCTGCCTCTGCCTCCCAAGTGCTGGGATTGAAGGCGTGAGCCACCACTGCCTGGTTTTGTTCTTATACCTAACACTGCATCCTGGCCAGGTCTGAGGAGACGGCACGGCACATTTGGTGAAGTGCTTGCCTTGCACTGGCTCCCAACCCCTGATCCCACATTTAAAAAATATGAAGGCATGGTGGTGTGTTCTTAGCTCCCACCATTGAGGAGGTAGAGACAGGCAGATCCCTGGGGCTTGCTGACCAGCCAGCCTAACTAAATTGTCTAGTCCCAAGCCGGTGAGAGATGCTGTCTCATAAAACAAGCAAGCTGGAGACTGCTCTTAAACTCTTGCCACCTCCTGGTCTGCCGTGTCCCTGGAGCAAGGGTGTGGGTGATGTGATGAGACATCCCGTTCAGGGCGGAGCACTGTGCAGTCACCTGCCCTGCCCTGGGGCGGGTCTCGAGTTAGCCACCGACCCCTGCAAACAGAAGCCCCTTTGACGGGAGGTGGAAGCCGCATTAAACCGTCAAGATGAGTGTTTAGAGGGCAGTTTGGAGCTAGTCCACTTGCCCTGGCGCCTGTGACCTCCCCAGCCACGAGTATTTGGCCAGGTTTACAGAACGAGGCATGAGTCCCGCCTTGTGGAGCAGGCCTTAAATCCAACCAGACAGTAGTTAGTTGCTCCCATAACATTCCTGACACTATTGCACCAATGCAGGTCTCACTTTTTGAAGTTTTTAATTACGTCAGCAGCGCCCCCTTGAGGACCAAGGTTCCAGTGCCTCCGCAGAACAGACTCAACCCTTATCCTAACCCTAGCAGAAGGCATCCTGGTCACTCAGGCCTGGGTGGCTCTGGCCCAGCATTCCCATAGTGCTCCAGGCCTTGAGTCTGTCCCTGTGCATCCTCTAGAACTGTAAAAGTAGAAACTTAGATTTGTGGGCTTCTTGTGTTTTGCCTTCTCCTTGCAGCGTTAGATGGAGCAATGATTTGTAGAAGTTGAACGAATGAAAAAGTCCAGGTGTAGTAGCACATGCCTGTGATGGGCACGGCCTTCTGAACATGTTTCTCTTATTGGTTGATGAGTGAAACACTGTTTGGCTAATAGAGGCAGAAAGACAGGCAGGGATAGGAGACAAGAGAATGCTGGAGAGAGAGACAGAGAGGCGCCACGAGGAGATGCCATGTAGCTGCCAAAGGAGTAACAGGTCTGGGCTTTCTCCGATAAGTCAAGACCACGTGAAAGTACAGAGATTTATAGAAATGGGTTAATAATTAAGACAGAGCTAGCCAGTAAGAGGTCCTAGCCATCAACCAAGTTTTATAACTAATATAGCACCTGTGTGTTTATTTGGGACTGAAGTAGCAGTAGGACCTGGCGGGAAAGACCCTCTTCCTACATACCTGTAATTCCAGCACTTAGGAAGGAGGTGGAGGCAGGGGGATCAGGAGTTCATGTCATCCTTAGCTACGTAGCAAGTTCCAGGCCAGCCTGGGATTCATGAGACTCTGCCTCAAAAAGAAAAACAAAACGAATGTATGAATGGGCAGACCTCAAAGCGGGCTCGTTCTTTATGAGTTCGTAACACGTAACCCTTCCTTCCTTTGTGTGTATCCCGAACCCGCCGTCACGGCGCGTGAAGATCTCTGACATCGAGAGCCGGATTTCAGCCCTGACCATCGCTGGCTTGAACATAGCGCCCTGTGTGCGTCTCGCGAGGCGACGGGACCAAAAGCAGAGGAACCAGGTGTGTTTGCCCTTCCCTCCCCACTGGAAGGTGGCATGGCCTGGAAAGCTCCAAGTGCAGTCTACAGAGCCTCACCGAAGGCTGTGTTTGTTTGTAGGTGCAAACTATAGACACATCGAGGCAGCAGAGGAGGAAGCTGCCCGCTCCTCCTGTGAAAGGTAGGTCGCTCGGAAAATACCAAGCTTGAGCCATGGGAAGAACTCAGGGAAACCCTGAGTGTGAGGAAGTGTGAGGGCCAGATCCAGCGTGCCCTCTCCCCAAGAGCCGTTCTACTGGCTCGTGAGTGTGCGCGGGAGAATGGGTGAGTACCAGTGAGCATTAAGTGGGAGTGAGAGTGATGGTGTATGCCAGTGTGCCCGTGCGAGTAAGTGTGTGTGTGTGTGTGTGAAAGTGTGTGGGTCTGAGAGTGTGAGCATGTGGGGGTGTGGGGGTGAGTGTGTGTTTGTGAGAGTGTGTGTATGAGGGTGGTATGTGTGAGTGTATGTGTGCACGTATGAATGGGAAGGTGTGCGGCTGAGCGTGGGAATGTGAGTGTGAGGTCATAGGTGAGCGTATTGTTGATGGGTCTGCAGGAGAGCAGATGAAGTATGTGAGTACGTGTACGTCTTTGTATGAGAGTATGAGCATGTGCTAATACGAGTGTGGAGAGAGTATGAGAATTGCATGATTGTGTGTGTGTGTGTGTGTAGGCATGTATGGGTGCGGGCTATTCATGTGTGAACGTGTGAGTATGAATGCATGTGATTTTGTGTGAGTGCGTGTGGGTATGAGGATAAAAGAGGGTATGAGGTATGGCTGTGGCCTGTTGGGGATATGCATGGGTGTGCGTGTAAGTCTGAGAGTGTTTACATGTGTGGGTGTGTATGAGTGCGTGCATTGCGAATGCGTGAGAATGTGTGTGGGGTGAGTGAATGCATTAGTGTGTGAGTGTATGCTTGCTTTTCATGAGTGTCAGTGAGTTTTGTGAAGCTGTGTGTGTGTAACTGTATAAGTGAGGGTGTGTTAGTGTTGGCCACATAAGTGTGGAGGTATCTGTGTTGGGTATATGCATGTGCGGTATGTGGGTTTGTGCGTAAGTGAGGGCATGTGATTGAGTGTGAACTCGAAAGTGTGAATGTATTAGTGTGTGTCAGTGTGTGCGAGAGTACCATGTGAGTGTGTTAATGTGGGGGTTTCCACCAGTTTGAGTAGAGGCTGTGAAAGTGAGTATGTCAGTATGAATGCATTTCTGAGTGTTTTGGGTGTGTTTGCATATGTGTTTGAAAGTGTGTTTTTTTTTTGTTGTTTTGTTTTGGTTTTTGGTTTTTCGAGACAGGGTTTCTCTGTGGCTTTGGAGGCTGTCCTGGAACTCGCTTGGTAGTCCAGGCTGGTCTCGAACTCACAGAGATCCGCCTGCCTCTGCCTCCCGAGTGGAAAGTGTGTTTATGAGCAGGTGTGAATCTAAGTTTGTGAATGTGACTGGGTTCATGAGTAGGGGACTCGATGTATGTTCAAGTTTGTGTGTGTCTGTGTGTTTGTTTGAGTGTGTGTGTACATGAGTGATTGTATGTCAGTGAGAGTGCATGTGTATTCTGTGTGTGAGAATATGTGATTTTGAGATGTGTTTTATGTATGTGTGAGCTTGCATGTGAATGAGTGTATGTATGTGAGAGTGTGGAGCTAGGCTGGTGCCCAGTAACCCCCAGAGTACCCATGTCTCTGCCCCCGTAAGCGCCAGGGTTACAGGCTATTTTACGTGGGTGCTGGCTCCTCCCGACTGAGCCCTCTCCCCAGCCGTTCTTACCTACCTCACTTACGGCCCAGAAGCAAAGCTTGGGGCATGGATGCATGTGAGGTAGTTTACAGGGAGGTTCCAGGAAGTGCTGAGGGTAAAGGAAAGACAGAGGAGAGGGGAGCACGTGTGCCGGACCGGGCTGCTTTAATCCGGGGCTTAATTCTTGGGGAAACGAAGCTGGCATCTCCCGGAACCTGATTCTTACTATTCGTCTCCTTTTCAGCTGAGAAGATGGAAGTGTCCTCTGTAACCCCCATTAAAACATTTAACCGCAACTTCCTTCTCCAAGGCTCCTCCACGAGCAGGCCCTCGGAAAGGCACGGTGACACCAAGGACGTGATGGTAAATGCTGTCTCTGTCCCATCATGCCACATGATGGTCCCTCCTGCGCCCGTTCCGTCACAGGCACTCCCTCCATTACTTCCTTCCATACCTGCCCCAGCAGAGCCCCAGGAGGCAACCCTCCTTTCTGGTCTCCTGGCCTGTTTTAGATTTGGTGGGGGGAGGTATCTCTGAAAGGTGAGTGCCACCCTGCGTGGCATTGCTGGCCTCTTTAACCTGAGTCTGTCATCTCAGCTGGATTTCTGTCTCACTCTTTCTAGCAGCCAGCTATGATACGAGAGGCACGAAAGTGTGCCAGGTCCGTGTAAGGTATGGTGGGTAAGGGCTTTTCCTAAGAAGAGTCAGCAGCCGCCCCCAGATGTGACATAGGACAGGACAGAGGACAATGCCACAGACTCTGGGGATCGCGCAGGAAGGGCTAGTGGAGTATTGGCTACAAAAACATTTGCACATAGGCGGGGCAGCTTCTGTCTGTAATCTCGTCGCTAGAGAGGCTAAGGCAGGAGGATTGCTGCCAGTTTCAAATGTGGGGCCAGTCCGGGCTTCATGGTGAGCTCCAGGTGAGCCGCAGTTACATATCGAGACACGTGGTTCATGGAGCGTCTCAGTTAGGGTCACTGTTGCTGTGCTGAAACATCATGACCAAAAGCAACTTGGGGAAAAGGGGTTTACGTGGCTTCCGTATCCTGGGCCGTGGTCCATTGAGAGAATCAAGGGCGGGAACTCAAACAGGGCAGGAACCTGGAGGCAGGAGCTGATGCAGAGGCCATGGAGGGATGCTGCTTACTGAATTGCTCAGCCTGCTTTCTTATAGAACCCAGAACCACCAACTCAGGGATGAAACTACCCACAATGGGCTGGGCCCCCCCCCCATCAACACTAAGAAAATACCTTACAAGTCTGCCTGTAGCCCAGTCTTTTGTAAGCATTTGAATTTGTGTGTGTGTGAGAGAGAGAGAGAGATTCTTAAGCCTAAATAATCAATAGTCAATGAATATAAAACGAACTTTGCATTATGATGGCTTATGTATGCAATCTCAACATGAGGGAGGCTGAAGGAAGAGAGTTCTAGCAAACTCAGCACCAGCCTGGGCCCGCACAGCGAGCACCAGATCTGCAAGACCCTGTCTCAGAACAGTTTAGCAGCAGCCTGTGCGCCAGGAGTTCAGGAAACAGCACAGGACCCTTAGAAGAGAGGCCTGGCGCCGGGCGTTTGTGGCGCACGCCTTTAATCCCAGCACTCGGGAGGCAGAGGCAGGCGGATCTCTGTGAGTTCGAGACCAGCCTGGACTACCAAGCGAGTTCCAGGACAGCCTCCAAAGCCACAGAGAAACCTAACCCTGTCTCAAAAAAAAAAAAAAAAAAAAAAAAAGAAGAGAGGCCTGGCCAGGCAGGCCCACAGCACACGAGCTGCTGAGAGCAGACCCTGTGTGGACCGGCTGGAGGGATGCGAGGACACACCCACCCGCTCTGTATAGGTGCCCTCTGCCTCTCCCCCTTGTCGTGTGTCCCCTCCTCCCTCCGCTCTGAGTGGAGAAGCACCAGGTAACGTCCAGCCTTTGAACTGCACATGACTGTCTTGATGGTCACCAGGAACCTCAGCCCCTCATTGCCTTTCGGTCAGCTGTGACCCCTGACCTTTCAAAGTCCAATCATCTTGCTACCGGCCATAACTTCAGAAGGCTAAGGTAGTAGCACACGCCTTTAATTCCAGCACTCCTCAGGAGACAGAGGCAGGTGGTCCCTGAGTTCAAAGCCAGCCTGGTGTAGAGTTCCAGGAACTCCTGTCTCAAGGGGGAAACAAGGAAAGAAAGAAGAGAAAGTAGGAGGAGGTAGTCTTCCTGTTTTCATTTGACTGACGCAGGCGAGGGCGGAGCCTGTCCTGGTGGGGGAAGAGCGGTTTGCTGGGTTGTGGCTGGGTTACGGTTGTTGAGAGCTCCCTTGTCTCCTTTCCAGAGATAAATGCCAATTAGAGAACTGAGTGATGTGAGCACTGGGTGTCTGTGAAGCTGCCTAAATATCCAACGGTGCCTCACAGAAAATACCTAACTACATAGCCAAAAAAAAAAAATCTGCTTCCTGAGAATCAGTTTGCACACAGAAACCCTTGGTATATCCCAGGAGGAAGACAGTGCCCAGTCGTTCCCCAACCCCCAAGACCATGTTTCCATGATCAGTTTGCCAGGTAGCCAGTGACGGTGTCCATCTTGCTTCACCCAGGAGCCTGTTCTGGAGTCTGCCGTGACGCACTAACCACGGAACTCCACAGCCAGTGACCCACTGCCTCCGGCCGTACACGACAGTGCCTTGACCCAACAGCCATCGAGTACTGTGTGGATTTCCACTGAGGCAAGGGCCTGGGGAGGCCGCGGTGCATTGCTGCACAGGGCTGTCTCGATACCTCACCCAGAAGGCCATCTCAGTCTGCAACACTGAGGTCCTACCCACTCTCTGCCTTAGGCTCCCAGGGGAATCTAAGACCGAATATCCAGACGCTGGCTTCCAATAGCAGGGCTCTGTGTTCAAAAGATGCATTGTGCCTGTTTAATTTGTTCCTGTGTGCTGTCTTCGCTGTCCCTGTGTGGTTTTTAATCTCTTTTTATCCCTACCATCAGTTCATCCAATGGAAAACCCTGGAGAGGAGGAGCTCCAGGGAAGGAAGGGAGGGAGGAAGGAAGGAAGGGAGGGAGGGAGGAAGGAAGGAAGGAAGGAAGGAAGGAAGGAAGGAAGGAAGGAAGGAAGGAAGGGGGATATTATCCTTCCTTGCTTACTCTTGCTTGTCATCTCCTAACAGATGCTAAGAGCAGGGGGCACTAGAAAAAAAATCTCACAGCAGTGCTCAGCCACCTCCAGCTAAGCTCCCCGTGCCCACCCCTCACCTCCATCACGGTCCTTCCTGTGGCCTGGCAATCGGCAGCCACAGAATGAAAAGCTCCGACCCACCCATGCCACACCCAGGTCTCTTTCAAACCATGTCTCATTTCGAATTTAGGGTTCTTGCATGTGTTTACTCAGGGGGAGAGGGGCCTAAGGAATGCCGTTATTCGTCTTAACTTGCCGGACACTGTTCAGGGTCCTTGTGAAGTGGCCTGGCCATGACCGACATTGAGATGAAATTTGGGTAAATGAACCATTGCAAAAGGGGACTACGCAAGGAAAGTGTTCCGTTCTCCAAAATCATGTCTCCCGCTGAACTCATCGAGACTCAGATGCAGCACCAGTGATGATGGTGGTTAGGACGTCACCTTAGGGAAAAGCAGTGTAGACTGGGAGGGACACACAAGAGGCGACCCTAGCTCCACATCCATGGTCTGTCTCAGGGGAGAGGTTGGCCTAAATGCATGAATATCTAAATGTATTTATTCACACAAATGGAGCTTACACTCCCCCGGACTCCCTGGATACTTGTAGCCTGTCTTTAATGCTGGCTTCCAGGATATTCTGAATCACGGAGTGACGGTGGGGTCGGGAGCAAAGGCAGGATGCCAGGCAGTGAGTGGCCATTGGGTGCCGGCTCTGCAGGACACAATCTTCTCAGTTTGGTCTAGTGTCCCTTTCCGGCAGGCCTATGGGTTTCCCAGAATCCACAACCAAAGGTCAGACCACCGAACCTGCTGAAGCCATATGTGTGAGGCTGGCTCTGACTGCAATGCCCCGGCCCCAAAAGTCCAGCTCCGTTGTTTCCATGTCCGTGTTCTCTTGCGAGTTCCCCCCTGTGCTGTACGTACGTGCGCCATGGTTGCTGGTGGGGGTCCTCGCGTCTCCACGACGCTCCTGCTGTTACCCCAGAGAAAGGACTCCATGGAAATAGTAAACCTTTGGCATTTTGTCCGGTGGGTATGGTTCACACTAAAACAAAGTTGAAAAAACACAACAACAAAAAGACCTGACTTCCAAGTAGAACGTTTTCCTTAGGAGGCATGAGTCTGCCTTTGTGCTAACAGTGTTAAAATACTCAGTTTTCTTTTGAAAAAAGTGTGTACTCTGTAAGCCTTGCAAAAAAAATAATGAAGAAAAAGCCTGTTCTATGGCATCTGAACTTTTATAAAGGCTTCCTTGTGCCAAATAAGTACAAAGATTTAATTTACTATTTAAACCATAAACATGCTATAGTTCCAGAAAATTATTTTGTCATCCAGTGATTTTGATCTTTAGTGTCAATATTTATATTTAGATTAATTTTTATAAATGAAATATTTTGATGGTCTAAGAAAATGAGGACAAAGGGGATATATCTCTGATGGCTTCTTGGGGTAATGCCTTCGTGTCTCACACACTCGGCCAAGAATCACTGTCAAAAGAAATGACCACGACCGAGCAGTAAAAGTCACTTAAGAAAATCATCTGTGTGTGTGATTTTTATTCATTTATTTGCTTATTTTGGTTAGGAGAGTCTGGGAATCTGTGTCACTGTCTGCCTTCTAGTTTTACCTCACATGGCTGTCTGACCAAGTTGGTTCTCCCTCCCTATTGAAACAAGGCAGTTCCCAGTGCTGGGATTGCAGGTGTGTGCCTGCACACTGCCTTTTTTCTTTTCTTTCTTTTTTTTTTAAGAGCTTTATTTATTTATAAGGTGTACAGAATTCTGTCTGTACATATGCCTGCAGGCCAGAAGAGGGCGCCAGATCTCATTACAGATGACTGTGAGCCACCATGTGGTTGCTGGGAATTGAACTCAGGACCTCTGGAAGAGCAGCCAGTGCTCTTAATCACTGAGTCATCTCTCCAGCCCCAGCTTTTTGCTTTTCTTACTTGGATGTTGGGAATCTGAGCTCAGATCTTCACGCTTGCACACACCTACCTCCCTAGCCCAAGTAGACACTTTGACTAAAGCAACCAGGTTCTGCTGCTTGTAGCTGGGATACTGCCAAACATCATTCATTGTGGCAGGGATTCTGCCGGGCAGCACACATTGTAGCAGGGATCCTGCCGGGCAGCATACATTGTAGCAGGGATCCTGCCCGGCAGCATACATTGTAGCAGGGATCAGTATCATATACTGCACAGGGTGACGCCTGCAACAAAAAACAGTCCAGCCATTCTTTTCACAGTGCTGAGGATAAGAACCCTGAGTTGGTTAGACACTATGTAAGGATAGTTATTTCCCCAGCGTTTTGGTTTGGGTTTCTATTGCTGGGAAGAGACACAGTGACCATGGCAACTCTAACAAAGGAAAAACATGAAGTTGGGGTGGCTTTCACTTTCAGAGGTTCAGTCCCTTATCATGGTGTGATATGGATGAGGACAGGCGGACACGGTGCTGGAGAAGGAGCCAACAGCCTTGTCCATCTAAGGTCGGGGAGCACTGCTGTGATAAAGCTGTTTCCTCAAGGTTGAACCTTCCTGGGAGGAGCAGAAATCTTTGTGAGTCGGGAAACATGCAAGACAGGCGGATCTCTGTGAGTTCGAGGCCAGCCTGGTCTACAGAGTGAGTTCCAGGACAGCCTCCAAAACAATACAGAGAAACCCTGTCTCAAAAAACCAAAAAAAAAAAAAAAAAAAAGACTCACAAGGCTCCTCTAATTACACGAGCTAAAACTGTTGCTGGGAGAGAGGAGACTCTTCTGTGGAGCTGCCCATGAGTAGTGCAGAGGGCTGAAGATGCAGGTTTCTCAGAAGTCACCCATGATGGGATGGATCCTTTTGGTGAGGCTCTTGCTTTGAGTCAATCATGCTTCTATAAGTAGCCCCTCACCCATGTTGCAACAAATGTCCCCAATAAACTCAGTCACCAATCTGGATTTGGGTGACCTTGTGTCTTGAGTCTGTCATCACCGTATCTGAGGGAAAGTCATGCCATAGATACCCTCACATCAGCTGGGTGCTTGTTCAAACTGGTCTGCCTGATGCTTCTCACTTACATCTCTAGCAGCATCCCAGTATGGTGCTTGAAGCATTTATCTAATTATTCTTTAGCAATAAAAAAAATCATGTTTCAGACGCCGGGCGTTGGTGGCACACGCCTTTAATCCCAGCACTCGGGAGGCAGAGGCAGGCGGATCTCTGTAAGTTCGAGACCAGCCTGGTCTACCGAGTGAGTTCCAGGACAGCCTCCAAAGCCACAGAGAAACCCTGTCTCGAAAGACCAAAAAAAAAAAAAAAAATCATGTTTCAGATATCGGGGCAAGAACCTGAATGACCAGAGAAGTGACAGAGAAGCCACCAGTGACCTCTTCTATTGAGATCCTCTTAGCCCCGCCTTACGCTTCTTTCTCCTCTCTGTCCTTAGTCCTCCAAGACCTCTATGGTTAATTTTGGTCGGCTAGTGGTTAGCTCCGCCCTCTGACTCAAGGCAAACTTTATTGTCAGAATGCTATCAAAGTATCACACAACAGGTGCTCATGCTGTGAATCCCTGGACAATGCTTTTAAAACCATTGATGGAGGAAGAAAAGGAAGAGACCCAGCTGACTTTAAAAGCCTCACCTGCCTCCTGGGACATAACAGCTCCAATGGAAACAATGAGAGAATCTGAGCCACTTGCTGTGGGTGAGAACCACTCACCCCGGCCTTCTCTCACACAGGGAAACAGATGGCCAGAAAAGCTAGAAAACCAAGGAGCTGGGTTCCAATGACACGTGGGCAAACAGCCCTTCATCCCTGCACCTGATTGCACTGCTAGGCAAAGAGATTGGAAAGAGAGGACTGTGTGCTGTAAAATGAAATAAACCCTTTCCTTCCAAGTTGATTGTGGTTGTGGGGTTACCACAGTAACAAAAGCAAACTAGGAAGCCGTTTTAGAATGTCAGCTTGGGACTCCCTAACTCATTCTGTCAAGTTGGAACACACACACACACACACACACACACACACACACACACATAAACACGTACACTCAACTTACACACATATATCACACATATATACAAACACACACACTGCATCCTATGTACCTGAGATACTCCTCTCAGAAGACAGAATGGCAAACACCTGTATCCCTAAGAAACACATGGCTCTTCTTGTTTCCTTGGTTATTCCGACATGACATATGTTTTTCTCCTGAAAAATTAGTGCTTTATTTGCCATGACAACTGTGACCCAGAGTTCAGAGCATCTAGAAGACTCCAGAAGTATCTAGTCCCTACTCAGACTTTTTCTGTACTATGACCGGTCAGCTCACCTGTAAAGTCGCGATCTAAGTCTTCCTTATGCTGCTAGAACCTTACAGGAAATAATTCACAAGGAACACTTTATCAGGAGCTTGGTAACCATAGCTACTAGAAACTTATGCCAACCCCTTCCCATTTCCTCTTCAAATAAGAAATTCTACCAAGAATCAGTGTCCTGACCTAAACAACACAAAATACCCAAACTTGATTTTATAGCTCATGGTGGGAGAGATTTCTATTCTGCAAGCATTTCCTCTCCAGACCCTAACTCTAGTAGGTATGACTCTCTGCCCTATTGAGGTTGGGCTTGGCTAGGTGACTTGCCTTGTGATGGAAGGACAAACTTCTCCAGCCCTTGATTTTGGACTTGTATATGAGACTCGCTTGGGCTAATCCGATGCTCTAGTTTGTTTTCTGTTACTGTGACAATCACTAAACCCAGAAGTAACTTGGAGAAGAAAGGGTTTATTTGGCTCACAGGTCACAGTGGCTACTCTCTGAAAACAGTGTGGTGCTTTGAATCGGAATGGCCCCCCTAGACTGGCGTTTGAATGATTGGCCTTAGGGAGCAGCTCTATTAGGAGGTGTGGCCTTGGAGTAGATGGGGCTTTATTGGAGGAAGTGTGTCACTAGGGGGTAGGGTTTGAGGTCTCAACTGCTCAAGTCAGGTCTAGTGTGGCGTTCACTTCCTGCTGCCTGCTGATCCAGATGCAGACCTCTCGGCTCCTTCTCACCCACGTGTCTGCCCACACACTGCCATGCTTCTCACCGCAATGATAACGGGCTAAACCTCTGAAGCTTTAAGCCACTTAAATGTTTTTCCTGTATAAGAGTTGCAGTGATCATGGTGTCTCTTCACAGCAATAGAACCGTAACGGAAACACACTGAGTTTGGAGTGTGGCATGTTAGGCAGTATTATTTTGGTATGAGCCACATTATCTTTTTTTTTTTTTTTTTTTTTTTTTTGGTTTTTCAAGACAGGGTTTCTCTGTGGCTTTGGAGGCTGTCCTGAAACTAGCTCTTGTAGACCAGGCTGGCCTCAAACTCACAGAGATCCGCCAGCCTCTGCCTCCCGAGTGCTGGGATTAAAGGCGTGCGCCACCAACACCCGGCTGAGCCACATTATCTTAAAACTTGGTTTATCAACTTATATTTATCCCTGTGTTAAGGGCAAAGTAAGATGAGGGAATACAGAAAGCAAAGTCATTGTGACGGTTAATAATTGACTGAACAGGATTTAGAATCACCCAAGACAAACGTCTGGGCATGTCTGAGAACTGAGTCTCTAGAATGGTCAAGTAAGAACACTCATCTAAGAGTGGTGCCACCATCTAGTGGGCTAGGGTCCTAGATAAAATAAAAACAAGAAAGTGAGTCGGGCAGTGGTGGCATGTGCCTTCAGTCCCAGCACTCGGGAGGCAGAGCAGGTGGACCTCTGAGTAGGAGGCCCCCCTGGTCTACGGAGTGAGTTCAGGGCTGGCTCCAAAGCTACAGAGGAACCCTGTCTCGAAAAAACAAAAACAGGAGAAAGTGAGCTGGCAATGAGTATTCCTCTCTCTGTCTCTGTCTCTGTGTCTGTCTGTCTGTCTGTCTGTCTCTCTCCCTCTCTCTCTCTCTCTCTCTCTCTCTCTCTCTCTCTCTCTCTCTCTCTCCTTCATGACTGTGGGCACAATGTGATCAGCCACCACTGCCCCTGTCACACTGCCTTCCCCGTCATGATGGACTGGACCCTCAAACTGCGAACCCAAAATAAACGCTTCTTTCTCTGAGTTGCTTTGGCCGGTGCAGTGAGAAGAGTCACCAACAGGGTCGGAGGGCATCTGTATAAGAAGCTCCTTGGTTTTGACATTTCACAAGCTCTCCCTCTCCTTTTTTATTCTGTGTGTGTTGGTCTTTCAGAGTCTTTTGTCATTGAGATTTTTGACAAATCACTGCCTGCAGGAGCATTTGGTCCCTTTAAAAATAGCTCTCCCTGACAGCCGCTCTGTTTTCTCCCAGGGGAAGTGTTTCCCGTATGAAATTTGCATTTTGCAGAACAGTTGGCCGTGTGAGCCTTCTGTCTCAGCGACTGAGCTGGGATTATAATAAAGCGCAGGTAAGCAGGACCGACTCTCCAAGGGGGTGGAAAACTTGAGTATCCACAGCAGGCTTGTGGGGGTGATCAAAAGGGGCCAGTTTGGTGGGGCAGAGCTCTTTAAATACAAGGAAAGAAATACGTTTTCCACCAAAGTCAT